TTTATACCTCCAACAACCAGCTGGGAGGGATCCAGATCATGCACAATAATGGAGTGACTCACACCACCGTGCCAGATGACTTTGAGGGCGTCTTCACCATCCTCAAGTGGCTCTCCTATATGCCAAAGGTTCGGCTGAATGTGTGAAAGTTCATGTAATGTCATTTTTAGGTCTATATAAAAGTAACCCAACTAACTCTTGACCTCTCCTCGCTACAGAACAAACACTCCCCTGTGCCCGTCATATCGACTACAGATTCAGTAGACCGAGAGATAGAATACACTCCGACCAAAGCACCGTACGACCCACGCTGGATGCTGGCGGGGAGACCTCACCCCAGTGAGTGCAGAGACGTGATTTTAAAGCTTGATATTGCTTAGTATATCAGTCTGGTCAATTGGCTTTGTGTCTGCTCTATTAGCGGTGAGAGGAGCCTGGCAGAGCGGATTTTTCGACCACGGCTCTTTCATGGAGATCATGGAGTCTTGGGCTCAGACAGTGGTAGTGGGCAGAGCACGGTAAGCGGGTTAACTCTGAATGCAAACACACTGTATTAGCCTTACACCGTAATCATTAAATGCACTCTGTTGAATGTTAACAGGTTAGGAGGAATTCCCCTTGGTGTCATTGCTGTTGAAACTCGCACAGTTGAGTTCACCGTCCCAGCAGATCCAGCCAACCTGGATTCAGAATCTAAAGTGAGTCCATTTTTCCACATTTCTGATTCAAACACATTACATCACAGTTTTTCCACAATGCTCATGTTTTCTGTGTGTTGATGTCAGGTTCTGCAGCAAGCCGGCCAAGTGTGGTTTCCAGATTCAGCTTTTAAAACGGCTCAAGCTATTTGTGACTTCAACCGTGAGGGTCTGCCTCTCATGGTGTTCGCCAACTGGAGGGGCTTCTCTGGTGGAATGAAAGGTATAGGATGAATACAAAACTTTGCAAAGAAAGTTTTTGTTTTGGATTTCTTTTTTTTAAACGTTTTTTCCTATTTTACTCACAGATATGTACGACCAGATACTGAAGTTTGGGGCCTACATCGTGGACGCCCTGCGTGCTTTCCATCAGCCGGTGTTAGTGTACATCCCACCGCACGCTGAGCTGAGGGGGGGGTCCTGGGTGGTGATAGATCCCACCATCAACCCACTGTGTATGGAGCTCTATGCCGACAGGGAGAGCAGGTACATGAAGCGGTCCTGTTGTATTATTATGGTTACATTACCAACCTAAGCAACAGGTGTGTGTGACAATAACATGTTTTTCTTTTGCCTCCCTGTTGTGCTTTCTTCAGAGGTGGTGTGCTGGAGGCTGAGGGAACAGTGGAGATCAAATTCAGGAGGAAAGACCTGCTGAAGACCATGACTAGACTTGATTCAGTCTATGCTAGTCTGGTTGAGCAGCTTGGCAAAGGTTATTTCTTTCTTAATTCACTTGGACGACTTTCATTAAATGTTCTTTTAAATTCCCATCCAACTGATACATCACTGGCAACAAGTCACTCATTCACTCCCTTCTGTTTTCCTCAGCTTCTCCAGAGCTGTCTGACAAACAGAGCAAAGAGCTGGAGTCAAAGCTCAAAGCCAGGGAGGAGTTCCTGTTGCCCATCTACCACCAGGTGGCGGTGCAGTTTGCTGATCTCCATGACACCCCGGGGAGGATGCAGGAGAAGGGTGTCATCACGGTGAGTGTAACATTAGTTTAGAGGTGGGAGAAGTACTCAGATCTTGTACCTAAGTAAAGGTTTAAGTACCAGAGTGTAGGAATACTCTGGTACAAGTAAAAGTCCTGTCATCAAAATGTTACTCAGGTAAAAGTAGAAAAGTATAAGTATCAAAATATACTTAAAGTACCAAAAGTAGAAGTGCTCATTATGCAGATTGGTCCATTTCAGAACAATATATTATATGTTTTGATTATTGCATCAAAGGTGCAGCTAGTTTGAATGACTTTGTATACTGCAGGGTAGCTTGTGAATTTACTCCAGGTGGAACTAAAGTCTTATTTAAGTGTTGATTACATTTCATATCATTAATCCAAATCTACAAAGTAGTAGAAGTAGTCAAATTGCACGATTTACCTGTCAATTGTAATGAAGTATAATGTAGCCAAACATTTAAATACTCAAATAAAGTTCAAGTATCTCAAAATTGTACTAAAGTAAAGTACTTGAGTAAGTGTACTTAGTTACTTATAACTTGTATTTAGAGAATATTGGTGCTTTTAATAACTCTGTTTCACGTGGTTTCTCTGACAGGATATTTTGGACTGGAAGAATGTGCGGACCTTCTTCTACTGGCGTCTGCGTCGGCTGCTGCAGGAGCAGGTGGTGAAGCGGGAGATCCTGCAGGCCAACAAGGACCTGAGCGACGGACACATGCAGTCCATGCTGCGCCGCTGGTTTGTTGAGACAGAAGGAACAGTCAAGGTACGTTTAATCAGCCGGAGACTTCTGTCAGCTGAAGAATGGCTCATAGGTCAATATCTGTTAATCACTGTATCTGTGTCAGTTTTTGCCTGTGCCCTGCATATCATTTGATTCTTTTTGTTTTTTGAGCACTCTGTTGGTAACACTGATTAGAGATTCAAAAGTGCTTCTTTCTGCTTCCCCAGGCCTACCTCTGGGACAATAACCAAACAGTAGTCGAGTGGCTCGAGAAGCATTTGACCAACGAAGAAGGCACTTCAGGAATAAGAGAAAACATCAAGTACCTGAAAAAAGAAAACACTTTGAAACACATCCGCAGGTATGAAAAAAATCATCACACACACATTTGGTGACCTATTGATGTGGTCTTTTTCCATTGCTATAATCTTATCAATGCAGAAAAGCAATGTGTCACATCTTAACAGATATTACATTAAGATTACACAGCACAGAGCTACATCATAGACATAAATAAATGAAGACTAGCCAAGAGAGTCCCTATCACTCATCAGTTTGGTCATATTTAGCTAACACGGCCTAATGTATTAAACTCCAGTGTCGACTAAATACCTGCATCTTAATTTCCCATATAGTAGATTTTGAGACACATGCTGGTCTTGGCAAGGTAATCTAATGTTGATTACTGATATCAACATTATATTATATGGCAGACAATTTACTTCATGTGCAAACAGACTTAAATACTCTCTCTACATTTACAGTGCTAACATGTTTTATTATCTTTAAGTTTGTATTATCATGTTCCTCTTGTGTTGCAGCCTGGTGCAGGCTAACCCTGACATAGCCATGGACTGCATCATCCACATGAGCCAGAATATCACTCCCTCCCAGCGGGCCAAGCTCTCACATCTGCTCGCAACTATGGACAGCACCAGCACCAGTTAAGCTGAGAACCTTCATCAGGTTACTTTATTGATAAGAACCAAACAAGATATTGTAGTTGGTTGTATTGTAAAGGAAAAGAGGTGGAAAATGCACCTTTTTTAGGGTTATAGTTGGGGCATTTATTTGCACACATGCACAAAGTGACTTGTTCCTCACTCAACCACTACAATGCTCTTACTGCTGTAAACAATGCGGTTGAATGGCTTCGTTGCAGGGCCATGGTTATGCGTGCCAGTCTTTGTCTTTTACATTTGACGTTAGCGGTCAGTCATTTCAGCTCCTCGCTCCGGGAACTTCGTGGATCACAAACTACGACTGTAATGAACATTTCACTGGGCTGTATTTGCACATGGCAGTTTGTCAGTGTTAAATGTGCCTTGTTCAGTCTAATCAAGCCAAATCTGTACAAACGTGATGCCGTTGGTTCAATTAAACGTATTAAATAGAGAATTGGTATTAAACGCAAAGGTGGCTAGAACAACTGATTATATTTTGTAAGATTTTCAATTGAAAGTAAAAATGAAAAAAAAAGAAATTAATTGATTGATGATTTCTGAATTGACTGAAAGTATTTTTTATTGTAATGCAGAAATGCACATGTAGTAACTAAAACGTTTTTGCCAGTAATAAGTATTATTATGTCCATCTTTATATTGTCATTTTCAGTCTGTTTATTTGTATTTATGCTGTAGTGTTGTGTGTGCTAAGACTTTGATATGAATGTTAGGAGTTACTGCGACATTGCATGTTATAATTATGAACTTTTCTTTCATCTGTTGGTGTTTCTCTGATGTAATGCAGTAATTCTCAAGACTCAGGTTGTACATTAATTTCAAAAATGGGCCCTCAAGTGATGGCTTAATTTAGCTCACCTCTGATCAAAATATCAGCCTTGACATTTCATCTGAATGTATATGAACTCTCTTCTGTGTGATATACTAAAGACTGTTTGTTAATAAATGTCATTCATATATTTTTGGCAAAACAAACTTATTTTATTCCCCATTTGATTTTTATTATGATCAAGTTAATGAACATAATATACATCTGACTTTGAGACATGTTATTCACATTGTGTAAAATAATAATGTGTAAAATAATAATGTGTAAAATCTGGATTCCTCAAAATGTTGGCACACAATGGCATTTTGGAATGAAGTGGGTAAACTCAGTCAAAAGAAAGCTTTTCTGTGGCGATAGCAATTTGAAACATTCAAATATATACAGCAAAAGATTGCTAGAGTCATCACCTTCTCCAGCTGCCTTTTCATAAATATAAATAAAACATCACAGCAATAATGTCTAGCACAATACAACAGACAAGAGACGGGAATCTACAGTATGTTAGGGCTTTACAACGCAGAGAGAAAAACTTGAGGATGCTAAAGCGTACATCTCCACATAGTCTTTGTACTCATGCAGGCTTTGAGTCTTCGCTCGGCAAAGCTAGGTTTCTTAAATCTTACATATTTTCTTTCTTCTTGCCTCTTAATTTATCAGCAGTTTTAGTTCTTAGTGAGCACTTGTGGGCTTTATGTGAAATGATTTTTGAAGTAGTTCCCGGCTGACTGTAGGAAAGCAGTTTGATTTGTACTTGTAGGAGCACAAACTAATTCAGATTTTGACCTCAGTTGGCTTCCACAGATATCCAGTGATGGTTGAATAAATCAGGTCGACTCTGTTTGATACAGTTCAGCTGCTTCATAACAGGGCGATGGGCTTGTTGTTGGCCTGTGCACCCATATACTGGGAGGCCAGGTGATCCTGGGTGGTGTAGGCGGTGTAGAGACCCGTCACTTGCACATCTGACAGCGGCAGGTTTGCTCCGTTGGACATGGGAGTCAGGTGGGCTGTTCCCAAGTCACAGTCTGATAGTCGGAGGGGCGAGTTACTGAAGGTGCCCAAAGCATCCAGGTTAAAGCTGTCGTCCTTCATTTCCTCCCACAGATTACCTGAGCAGATGGAAGGAGAGGTTAGTATACTGATGGAACAACACTTCTATTTTATTGTTTTTATTTCAATTGTTTTATGTCTTATAAGATAAGATAATTTGGGAAATGTTTGCATTGCAGCAGCATAAAAAGACAAGGCATTGTACATTAGAGAAATTAAAAGACTAGAAATAGACAATCCAAAATGTAAACGTCTTAAATAGAAATAAAATAGCATTAAAAAAAGTTAAAAAATATACATTTGGAAATACAACATTATACATGTTATGCTGCATTGTTGGAGGAGCCTTGGACTTAAGTTTTTCATTGCCATATCTACACAGTAGCTACTGTGCATGACAATAAAGCCTTTGAATTATATAGCAAACTTAAAATAAAATGATATTTAAATAATGTGTTTACCTTGAAGGGCAAAGTCCATGATGCTGGGGTCCAGTGCGTCCACCTCTGTGTGCGTATCACCGTGCACGATGTAGAAGTCTTCATGCTGCTTGTTGGAGTGCTGGGTGAGTGGACTGTGACAGAGGTCAGGGACGGTGTGGAGGGGGGGTGTCTGGGCCGGGGCGGGGGACATGGGGGCGAGGCGGGCCTGAGCGTGGAGCTGGGCCTGGAGCTGGTGGTGCTGGTGCATGGGTAAACAGGGCAGGGACAGCGTGACAATCGGCTGAGGCTGCATCTGGGACGGGACGGACAGCGGGAGGCCGGAGGGACAGCTGGGGAGGCGGGTCATGCTGGCCTCTAAAGCCTTACGCCTGCAGTTCTCTGGGCGGTCTGTGATCAGTTTGTCCAACTCATCTGCAGGGAAAAAAACGATTATCAGACAAGGTGAAATTATTTTGTCAGATTTTATTGACTTGGGTGGGAGAAGTTCTCAGATCTTGTACTTAAGTAAAAGGAGAAGTACCAGAGTGTAGGAATACTCTGTTACAGGTAAAAGTCCTGCAATCAAAATGTTACTTGAGTAAAAGTACAAAAGTATAAGCATCAAAATATACTTAAAGTACAAAAAGTAAAAGTACTGTTTTGATTATAATTATATTGTATTGTATTGATGTAGTTTTAATCACTTTGTATGCTGCAGGGTAGCTTGTGAATTTACTCCAGGTGTAAATAAAGTCTTATTTAAGTGTTGACTATATTTCACATCATTAATCCAAATCTGCAAAGTAACTAAAGGTATTAAATAATTGTAGTGGAGTAGAGAAAAAGTAGTATAACATTGAAATACTCAGAGTGAAGTACAAGTCCCTCAAAATGTTACTAATGTAGTATTTGAGTAATCTACTTAGTTACTTTACACCACTGCTTAAAGCCTTTTTGAGCTTAACACTTTTCGAGACTGCATTCATTCTAACAAAATGATGGCACGAGGCATTTCTAAAATTCAACAAATGTTGTTTAAAGGAGGAAGGACATCTTTCAACAAGGCACATAGTTTACAAATAACTGTCGGCTTATCTGATTCTGATCAAATTGAATAAAACATGGATTCCTCCTAACCAGGGTTAGCCATGCTGCGGCGGATGGCTGGAAGGTCCTTGCGTTTCCACTTCTGCATCTCTTCCTCCATCTTGTCAATTTTGGCAGGGTTCAGCGCCCACAGACAGCCCTTACGGGAGGAGCTGCTCGTCTTGTTCTCCACTTTCTCGAAGCATTTGTTTAAGGACAGGTTGTGTCTGACTGAGTTCTTCCATCCATCAGGTGCAATCTGCAGGGAGAAAAGGGGAAGTTTATAATAAGTCAAATGTTTTCTCAACAGCATGCATGTTGATCTTCAGTCCTTTTCTGCAATATAAATGGAGTAGCATACCTTGAAATAAGGGAAGTGATCCTTCATAAAGCTATAGATCTCACTGACTGGGAGGCTGCCAGTTTTGCTGTTCTTCAGAGCCATGGCAATCAAACAGCTGGGAAAAAATGACCAGAAAACAATCGTTATTTTAATGTAGTTCAGAAAGAAAAGGCTGAAATACACTGAAGATTATTAGGAAGATTTGGTGGGTGTTATTATATGTAAGGTATGTTAGTGAGGTCTGACCTGTAGGAATAGATTGGCTTGGGGAAAGACTTGGGCTGCAGCTCCTGGTCTTGTGGAGCCAGACGAGGTTGTGTGAAAAGACTTTGGTTGTTGAAAGAGACATTGCTATAAAGCCCACCAGTTGAACACTATAACAAAAATAGAGAAAGATAATTAGGAACTTCATAATTTGCATTTATTCATTGTGACCAACCAAGTTTTTATCAGGTAGCATAATGTGCAGAGATCCATGTTATCCACACAAATAGCAAAATTAGCAACAACAACAACAACATGAGATTATCAGTTGAGAGATTGGTACCTGTTGTCCAGTTTGGGTAAGAGAGTACACCTGCTGGGGGGCAGACTGGTAGACTGAGGTAGGGCACTGGTATCCCGGAGAGGGCATCCCATTCATGGAGAATGGAGACATCTGTAAAGCAGATACAGTAATATTTGTTAATCATCCCTATAAAACGCTTGCTTGTTTTTTTTATTGCAATTCTGTTGAAACTCACACTCCCGCTGTGGGTGTTGATGATGCTGATTCCCAGAGGGCTGTGCTGCATGTTGCTCTGGAGGTGCAGCATGGAGCCTTGACCCGCCGTCATCGCAGTCATGTTGCTCAGTTGAGCTGTGAGAAGGAGCAATAATTGTATTCGATTTAAAAAATTGTACTGAAATAATCCTGAAGTGCTTTCTTTTTTTATCCAGAGAGATATGATGTGATGGCGGTAACAACCAGAAGAATATATAAAGGAATAGGTAGTATGTTTTTGATAATCATATAACCAAAAAAAATACCACAATAAGAAGTCGATACCTAAGCTTCTGTTGAAAGTGCTACACAATAAAATGTTCAGTATATGGCTGCAAATTGGTCCTGTAAGTCAATTTTATTTATTTTAATTATAATTGTTTGCATTTTTGATCTACTGAGCACAATGCATAATCTATTTAAATGATGGTTTGAGGTTAACTGTGTTAACTTGTCCCTGTGTTATTAGTGAAGCATAGTCCCAACAGCAGTGCTGTACTGTTAACGTCCATTATGACACCGTGTTTATATCTGCAGATGAGGGAATCCTGCTGTCCTGATTATCCAATGAGAGGGCTGATGCCGTTTTTGAATGTTGCACTGTCCCCTCCCTGTCCCCTCACCTGTCTGTTGCTCCAACAGGCTGCCCTGGGGGGGGCCGTTACTGAGGCCTCTGCTATCAGCCATCTGCTGGAGCCGGGGCACATCCACTGAGGTGAGCCATGACAGAGACTGCAGGTCCCCAGGGAGGTCCTCCTCCCTAAGCTGGGAGGGGTCCGTGGTCAGAAGCCTTCAAAAGAGGAGAAAGAGGGGGGGTTAACACGGCTGTCACACACAGACACACACAAGTGGAATTTAAATCTAAACACTAGATAGAACATTTTGTCCTTCAAAGTCAGACCACTGTAATGAGTGTGAATGTGGGCAAACAGAGATGAAAGCTGCTCAGTGAAGCCGGGCATCAACCATCCAGGATTTACCATAAGTAGATTAACTACAAGTGTTATCTTGCAGTGACAGTTTTATTCACCCATGGAGTTAAACAAGCTTACCGTTGAGACTAATTCATCTGTTAGGATTAGGTTTTTTTAATTTATTATAAAGGCACACTGACCTTTGTTTTTCTAGTTATTAACAATATTCCGTTTTTCTTTTCAATAATTTGAAGGAATATTTTTTCAACCTATAATTTATTAAAATATTCTGTAAAGGGAATTCAAATGTAGGATTTCTGTTTAACCAGTGCCCTGTTAGTACCAATCAGCTTCAGCCATTACGTTTTTTATGAGGCGAGCCTCGAAGAGAAAGCAAAGAAAGGAGAGGAATCCTCTTGAATCCTCTCCAGTCTTCTCCGCACACACACACTTACTGTGCAAAGGTCTAGTAATTGGGGTCGCTATGACAACACACACTATTCGGTTAGGGTCTGTAGACAGTGAATAAGTACCCACCCCTCCCCTTCACACACACACAAAATCTCCTAATAAAAAAAATCAACCCTGTGTCAGGTGACCACGGCCTCGCCTTCCACCATTGGCTGAATCATAAGTAAACAACGCATTGGATCGTTTGAAACATGGGACAGCAGCACATGTTGCCTGTAACAGTTGGCCTTGTCTATTGAAAAATGATCACCTATTGTGTCCCAAACGACAAATCTGCCCAGTGGCACGTGGCTCTATTGTCTTCCCCAGACCCTTCCTTGATTGTCTCTGTCGTTTCTTTTCTTTACACAGCCCCCTTGCATTAATCTGTTGGAATGACAGCCCTCACATAAGAGGGACAAATAGGATGCCATCTGCTTCCCTGTCCCTTTCCAGCCTCTAACCTCACCCAGCCCCCTTCCCCCATCGCCTTGCCCCGTCCTCCATTAATGGGGGAAATCAACGGAGCCCCGGGCCAGTGGGGGGTGCAAGTGTAGTTTGAGGTCAGGGCTGTGTGTCTGCCGTCTAAAGCAGTGACATCATGCAGCCGGGAATCAGCAGCACACTTCCTCCAACACCTTGCATGCGCCACTAAAGGATTCAGAGTGATTATCCTTTTTGCAGCAGGTGGCATTGTGAAGTTTAACACCCTGCGTAAGGTCACAATATCTTGAGCTTTAAAGTCGAGTTTTTGTTAGTTATTGGGCGACTGACTTACTCTTTTTCTATGTTTTGCTGCTAATAGTTTTATTTTACTTCTGGAGAAATACAGAAATGATATCTATGCATACAAGTCTGAGAGTCTATGACTTTTGAAACTTTTTTAACTTTGGTATTCTATTTTTTAAAGCATAAACGTAGGTGTGCATACACTCAAATCAAAACTATGTATAATATTTGATATGGCTTTACTTTTCAGAATCTGAATCTGAATTCCTTTGTTCTTCTCACAAAGGGGAAATGTATATTGTTACAGCAAAGTATAGATAGAGCACTATTATATAAAAGATAGTATTCAAAATGATTACAATTTACAGAAGTACACATTCAGGTAGATGTCAGGTTTACACTTTGATTCACAAATCAACTCAATGTGGCAATTGCCTATTATTAAAGCCTGTTAGAAACGGATAGAAATGTAAAGATGATACATGGGGGGGCTTATTCCCACTCCCCTCCTCTCTCTCAATCAGCAGCATAGAAATTGTTCACTGATGCAAAACATGTTGAGCTGGTGTCTCCGTGTATCATCCCGGCCTTCCCAGAGGTTCAACAACACAAAATATTGCACCTCCTCCTCCCTCTCTGCCTCCCTCCCTCCCCCCCTCCCTCCTTTTCTAATTGGGAGCCACTTGTGCATACTGGTGACCCAGAGTGCCCGTCTCCCCCTGAGCAGGCAGGCCAAGAGGCTCAGGCTCTCCGTGTGCCGACAGCGGGAGTGTAAACAGAGCTGATGGTTTCTGACAGATCCTTTCAGACTGAAAATCATTTATTCTTCAGGATTTTTTTCTCCTTTTTCATGAAACCCCCCATGCACAAAAAGAACTGTCCATCTACCTTCAGATTAAACATAGTGGGTTTGGACAGTTTGTTCCATGACCATTTGGGAAACACCTTTGAAGGTTTGACAAATAAAAATATGCCTTTTATCTATTGAGGCGTCACAGATTTGATCCTTAGTGTTTTTGACAATATGCAACACATTTTAATATGTCGTTTAGTGGTAGAGGATTCTGATACAACTCAATTTTTATTTTAAAGTCTTACCTGTAGTCCTGTGGAGACGGATGATGCCCAGCATTCTCAATGATTCCTGACATCATGGATGTTATTCCACCTTCTATCATTTCCTGGGATATGTGGTACCACTGCAATGAAATACATACAATAAACATACTTTAGGTTATCCTCCCAGTGAATATTCAAGCTGGGATCAAAAACCTATGTAGAAGACATTATCTAAATATAAATTGTGTCTTCAGTAAACAGCAAGTGCTATTCTGAAAATATAAGATTGTTCAACAAAAATAATACATTTTAAACTGAAGTGTAAGATTTAATAAACATTGAGCACAACAAAAAGCAAATAAAAAATAAATGTAATGGTAGCTCATAAAATGTCTGTTTGGCATCAGTGTGCCTTTGTTGTATTCAAATCCCATTTTGCAGTTTGGATCATTTTAGTTCACTTTACTTCACTAATTTAGCTCTAATTCAATTTCCTAGAAATGCAGAGAACTAATAACTTGTAGCCTAATCAAGTGTTCAGCTTAAATGTTTACATAACAGTTTGGACACATTAGCTCAGGTTTAAATGTCATTCAGCCTTCCAACAGAGAAACTGTGGTTAAAGTCTAAAGAAAACACATTAAAATATAAATATTCTCTTGAAGAAACAACAATCCGACAAAGACTATGATGAGATAAAAAATAAATGATTCAATTGTACCTGTTTTGGATGATATTGAAGAAAGTGTGAGCTGGTCGGAGCCCCTGTACTGTATTTCACTGTGTTGCACTTGATTCTCCAAAAACCGTTTTTAAATTTCCCTCTCTGGAGCTGTCCAGCGCTCGCACATGCGCAGTGGAGACTTCAGCAGAGCTCCCAGGCGCCCGGGGGGCAGGAGGATACCATGAGTTTGACAGCTGCTATTAATGCAGTGCGTGTTAACAGTCCCTACAACATCCACACTTCACACGGCAGGAGTAGAGATGTCGAGGTTTTATTTTTCTCTCAGTTTTTGGGGGACTTTGTGCCACAGTGCGGTAGTGGTGCGCTCCTCAACTGCACCCAAACAAGTCCTTGTATTAAAAATCAGGTCCTACTTCCCCCAAATGTAGTCCGCCTATTAGATCGTTATTAGAAATATCAGATTATTAGATTTTTAGAGAAAATATGCCCACTGTCTTTCTTTCCTGTGTGCGTGTCCCTCCAGTGGTCGTGGCACACAGGTGCGTCTTATCAAAACACCAAATAGCCTACACGAGTTAAGGCCTAAATCCTGTTGAGGCTATTTAGAGTATTTGGCACCAAAAAAAAAATCAGATTAAGCGTAATAGGGTTAGAAAAGTTAAACAAAAAATGCATAAAAATTAAATATCCATTTTGCTCCACTATCTCTTCCTGTCAGGTTATTCCCAGTAAGCTCTCTCGATCAGGTCTAAGACGATTTGAGTCGCTACTTGTGTTGGCATCTGTGTAGGCTGTGTGAGTGTGAACTTTTTTTTTTAAGGGAGTGCTTGCAGATAATTTGCTTCCCGCCGCTGTGGCCGCGTCCTGCTCCTCTCAGCAGTGGGAAAAGCAGCCGGGGAGGCGCGGAGGGGGCCGGGGGCTGCTCAGGAGGCGGCAAACACTCTGCAGGCAGGTCCACTCAGAGAAAAAAGTCGCATGAAACTGTCTCAGATTGCTAACACATTTCACTATAATCAAGGGAATAAGAAATGCACCACTTCCTCTTTATAAGTTAACTTAACTGTATTTTCGGTTTTGTGAACTGAGCTGTGGGATTTCTTCTGCACTTCATTTGTCTATTTATTTCTCTGTAGCACTTTGGTCTGGAGGGTTTAAAGTGCTTTACAAATAAAGGTGTATTGAATGTATAGTATAAGCTAAGTGTGAAAAACTAACAAAACACTCCCAACTTCAGATTTTCAATTGGCATTTCTGTGAATGAAAAATAACATTTTCATTTTAGAAGAAAAACACAAGTATCTTAAGCCTTTTGGGTTAACGTTTAGGTGTGATTTTAGGAAAGTATTTGGCTTTTTCCCCATGTGTAAAACATCTAGAAAAATCCATCTGTATGAAAATGATTAGAGTTGAAAAATAGCTTTTGTTTTTGTTTGTTTGTTTACTTTTACCACACTTTCTGAGAAAAATACATTCGTATCTGGTGCATTCACAGACCCCAGGGGTCCTTGGGGAGACTCCAGGGGGTCCCCACCAAAGGAGAAGTTACATTTTCCATTGTTTGATTAGAACTTTAATGGGCTGCCTTTCAAATTAAATATATCCCTTTAAACAGTTTTATGATTCATAAAAGACATAAAGAATGACAGAAATCTTCTAAAAATAAATATCTGATGCAGTTAATGAGATAACAGACACAGGGATTGTCTTGGCAGACTTAAATGTAAAACCTGTTGGAGATTAAAATGTTCAGCCGGAAATTAAAGGGGAATTCCTTAAAGTCTGTGGGGAGGCTGCAGTGACAGCAGTATCAGCCCCTTGGGACCCTACAGATGGTAAATCGGCCTGTCACAATAGGCACAATCAATGATTACATGCATGAACGTAACGGACAAAAACAAGACCGTCACCATCCTCAGAGATCCTGAAGGTCCTAAAGCCTGCAGGGTTTGATCTGGAGGGGCAAAGTAAAGAGGGGGGGGGTGCTCTGTGTGAGATTCTGCAGGTCAAGAGTTGGTGTCATCAGGGTGACCTCTGCATTTACTTACAACATTCTCTACAACATTTAGCTTACAGTAAAACATGTTTACATGCATATGGTTTACTTCATCTGTAACTCCTCGAAACTGCTCTGTTTGTTCTTCCACTATTTTATTGTTTTTTGCATTTTGTTTTATTGTTTTATGTCCCAATATAATCATGTTGCATTGTTGGAGGAGCCTGGGACTTAAGATTGTCCTTCTACATTGTAGCTACTGTGACAATAAAGCCTTTGAATCCTTGAATAGAAACTCCACAGGTGCAAAACAGGCAAAGCCTCTTTGTACAATTTGTTCATCAATTATTGAGTTTATTTGCCAGCTGCAGGGGTTGGACAGTAATTACACACAACTTACTAACATAATTAGTCTGTTGAAAATAATGATGGGCTAATCTGAATAATAACTCCAGTTATTGTAAAGAGTCAAAATATTCCCCATGGTCAAATCATGTTGAGAGGATTGGCTGGTGTTTTATGTAACGGTACATTCATATAATATTGGCCTAAAAAAACAACCCAATTTGATTAAATCAACTCAGGCTTTGGAAACTTGTAATGGATTTTTGTTTAACCTTTTCATAGACCAAAATGCAGAGGACAGGAAGCGATGGAAACAAATGTTCTGCTGATGATGTGACCGCAAACAGGCACAGATGTAAGTACCCTGTTTTGTAGCTTTGTTATTGCTTGGTGCTCTTATGATCTACACTTTGTATTTAAAATTGGTCACACTTCAGTCATTTCATTCTGTCAAAATTACAAGATTCAGCAAAGGGTACGTCTGTGGTTACTTTGGCAGCTACAATTTCAGATATGTCTGTTGTGTTTTCTCCTTACTGCATTACATTATTTGTTATTAGCAAAGAAATATTATGAGCTTCTGAAAACTATGAATTATTTAATTATTTAAGTTTGCATGCCTTTAGTAAATATCAGCATATGGTGATATTAAAAAGCAAAGAGTGAAGAAGTATTCTACTTATGGTTAAAGTAACAATACTACAGTGTAAAAACATTCTGTCACAAGTTAAACTCATACATTAAAAGCGTTGCTAAAGTAAAAGTACAAACGTTTTTGAATTTATCCGGTATTTCAGGATCATGTTCATTTTCAGTTGGATTAAAATGACTGATTACAACACCAAAAGGTGGAGCTCATTTTAATTAGTTCATATACAGCTGGGTAGCTTAATATATTTATCCATTTATATATATTTTATAATTCTAATTACAATATTTGCCTAACAAATGGAATTGAGTAGATGTATACAATTGCAGAGAATAGAAAGTACCTTAAAATTGTACGACACTTTGGTAAATGCACTTAATTATATTCCATCATTGCTAAAAAGTAGGCAGCAAAAAAAGCAAAATAATCTAAAGCGATCTCACAGATACAGTAGCTGCCGGCCTGAGCATCAGGAGTCATTTCAGGCTCAGTGTCTAACATGTGGACGGGAGGAGCTGGCCATTAAACCCCCAACCCTGTGATTAGAGGACAGCCTGTTCCCCTCATGAGCTACACCTTTACCATATGTGTGGTTACATTTTTGATTTATTTAACCGGGACAGTGTACATTAATAAACATTTCTGTAAATGTGCCAGAGTTAGCCGGAAGGTTATTTTTCATCTGTAGTCCCTGGACAGTTCTTGTTAATCACCCTAAAAACTAATTTCATTTAAAATAACAAGTTAATACAATCAGTAAAAGCATGCAAAATAGAGGCTTACAATACTGGAAATGCTAATATAAAACAATAAAACAAAGCATGCATAATACATAGCAAAAGGACAGCAACAGGTTAAGGCACAGACAGACAGAGGGCTGTGAAGTGCAACAGATTATTTCAGTGTTGATTCCTCACCATGTTTTTAAATGAGATTCAATTTTATAAACTGAATGTGTTTTGTTCTCTTATTGTTGCTGGGATTGAGTTCCATTATTGTGCAGCTTTAACAGAAAATGTAGATTGACTAAAAGAACATTTCCTGATTTGAATAATGCATCTCCTATTTGCATTTGTCCTTATGTTGATAAACTATCTGAAAGGAGGTGAGAAGGGGCCGTGGATGATCTTGTACAGAAGGCAAGCATTTGAATGTTTAATTATGTTTTCCCAGCTCGTCAAGTTGTATCTTATATATTACCTATCTATTTATTATAAGAATTGTGCACTGATGAGAATTAACAGATTTCTTATCAAGTTTGTATGACAATCAGGTTAATGGCAATGAGCTTTTCATGGCCGTGTGATGCATTCAGGAAAGTGCAGGAACACACAGTGACGGCCCTGCTCGCTCATGGCTGATCAGGAGTAATATGGAAACAATGGGATCACCGCCTGAGGGCTGGCCTCTGTTTTTAGCCTGTGTTTTTGTCTTGCATCAAGTGTTTACTGAAAACACCTCAGCCCCTCTGAGAACGAGGTCAGCTCGCCCTCTCTAATCAGACACAGTGTCCCCCCAGAACAACGTGTCACCCAGAGTGACCCTCCGGCCACACAGAGGAAGCTGCTGTCAGCCGTGCTTAGCCAAGGAGCAGCAACAGTGTCCTGCCAAATACTTTTTTTTCTCAGTGAAGCTTCAACCTGGATGGAGCAGATTGCCAGGCTCAGGTTCCCTTGTTAAATGTCAGCCAATCAGAGATAAAGCAGAACAGGTTTCAGTATACTTACAGCTTCACGGAGGGAGGCCAAAAATAAAACAGTGATGTCTGTATTACAGTGTTTTTTAATGTATCATTGATGTGTAGCCTTGAAACTGCTGAAGCCTTGAAGTGCAGCTCAGCACTGTTCTGATTTAAGAAACTTGTGTAAAAGGGACAGTTTATCCAAATCACAAACAGAAAAGAAAGCACCATATAACTCGTTTCAATATATAGACATTTAAACAGTTTACATTTTATTTGGCAAAACTTTAAGGTCCACTAAATACATTTAAAGCAGTTTACACCTGCTTTGGGGATAAACATGTGGTTCTTAACCCATTGCTAAATTACATTTGACAAAGTCAGCAGCAATAAAAAAAAAGGCACATGCCTAATTCAAAGAACACCCTGTTAGCAGCCTTAACAAAAACTATTAGCAATATTTCATATTAAAATAAGCCCTTTACACAGCCGACATTTCGACTTGTCATAGTAGGAAAAGCCCTGATTTTGTTGGCTCTGATCTGTTAAAGTGTCCCACTAAGCCATGACAGTTGGCCAGCATTAGCCATAG